GGGTCTCTTGTAGCCCCAGCTGGCTGGCTTGGAACTCGAAATGTAGACTAGGCTGGCCTTGATTTCACAGAGATCCGCCTGCCTCTGCTTCGCAAGTACTGGGATTAAAGGCGTGCGCCACCATGCCTGGCCCTTCAATTTATTTTTTATTAATTTTTTATATGTATATGAGTGTTTTGCTTGCTTGCATGTAAATGGAAAATGAAGCATATGTACCCAATGCTTTCAGAGACCAGAAGAAGGTGTCTGATCCCCTGGAACTCGAGCCAAAGACCCATCAGTCACCATGTGCATGCTGGGATCCAAACCCAGGTCTTCCGAAAGAGCAGTGCTCTCAACCACTGAGCAATCTCTTCGGCCCCCTACATATTTTTAAAACAGAGTCTCACTATTTAGACTTAGCTAGCATGGAACTCTCTATATAGACCAAGCTGGCCTCAGATTTACAGAGCTCTGCCTACCTCTTACTAACTTTAAAATTTTTTTACACTTATTTTTATTTTTAATTATGTGTATATGTGTGTGTAGAGGGGGTATGCATATGAGTGCAGGAACCCGTGGAAGCCAGAGGAATCACATCCCCCTGTTACTGGAATTATAGGCAGTTTGTGAGCCATCTGATGTGGTTGCTGGGAACTGAACTTGGGTACTCCAAAAGAGCAGTACATGCTCTTAACCACTCAGTGATATCTCCAACCCCATTGGTTGTTTGTTTTTTGGGTTTGGGTTTTTTAGAAACAAGGTCTCCCCATAGCCCCAGCTGACTTGACCTCACTATGTAGACCAGGCTTGGCCTCAATCTTACAGAGCCCTGCCTTACAGCCTTAAGCCTCCTGAGTGCTGGGATTAAAGGTGTGTACCACCACACCCCTCCATGTTATTAATAGTTTTAATACTATTCTTGTGGTGGCACAGTCCTTTAATCCCAGTACCTGGGAGGCAGAGGAAGGCAGATCTCTGAGTTCAAGACAAGCCTAGTCTGCATAGTGAGTCCCAGGCCAGCTGGGACTATAGGGAGACCCTGTCTCAAAATTCACATACCATTTCGTTTAACTAAAGTGTCCACATTCAGTGAGTTTTTAGTATATTCACAGAGGTGTGGAGTCATCACTACAGTCAGCTACATCATCCCAGACATAAATCTTATACCTATTGGCAGTTCCTTCCTGTTTGGTTCCTGGCCTTTGGCCACCACTAATCTATTCTTTGTGGATTTACATACGGATTTGCCTATGGATCCTATAGGATTCCATTCCTATATGAAATGATGTGGGTGGGACATTATATATAATGGAAACATATATATATATGTCTGCCATCTTTCACTGAGCACACTGTTTTACAAGGTTCATGCATGTTATAGCATGCATGCATCTTTTATGAGCAAATAGTTCTTTTGTGATTTTATGTATACACCACATAGATCCATTCATCTGTTGATGGACATGCGGTTGTTTCCATTTTTTTTTCTATTTCAAAGAATGCTGCTATAAATATTCGTATACAAGTGTTTACATGGACACATTTATTTCTCTTAGGTATGTACCTAGGAGTGGACTTTCTGGGTCATATAGTTACTTTATATTTAACTGCTGGAAGAACCAGTTATCAGAATGTTTTCCAAATTGGCTGTACCATTTTATATTCCTTCTGGAAGTATTCATAAGTTCCAGGTCCTCTACATTCTCACCAACATTTGTTATTTAAACTATAAAAAAACTATTTTTAAATATTTATTACTTTTTATTTTATGTGTATGAATATGTTGCCTGCATGTATGTGAGTGCACCCGTTTCATGCAGTGCCTTTGGCAGTCAGAAGAGCGCATCAGATTCCCTTGGAACTGGACTTATGGACACTTGTTAGCTGCCATGTGGGTGCTGGGAATTGAACTGAGTCTTCTACAAGAATAGTTGGTGCTCTTAACTGCTAAGCCATCTCTCCAGCCCCATTTGACTTTTTTATTATGGCTACCCTAGTGAGTACCAAGGATATCTGATCTGTCTGTCTGTCTGTGGGGCTGAGAACTGAACCTAGGGCCTTGTGCATGGTAGGCAAGTACTCCACTGCTGAGCTATATCCCTAACCCTCATGAAATTTTACATTTCTCTGTGACTAGTAATACTGAGCATCTTTTCATGTGCTTATTGGTCATTTGTAAATCTTCTTTGGAGAACTACCTATTCAGATCTTTTACCAAGTTTAAAAATGGTTGTTTATATTTTCTTTTTTGAAATATATTATTTTTATTTTATATGTATGTGTGTATTACCTGCATGTATGTAAGTGCACCCATGTCAGGCAATGCCCAATGACAGAAGAGGGCGTTGGATCCCCCGGAACTGGAGTCACAGACAGTTGTTAACTGCCATGTGGGTTCTGGGAACCAAATCCTGGTCTTCTGCAAGAACAGCCAGTGCTCTTAACCACTGAGCCATCTCTCCAGCCCTGTTTTTATTTTCTTATTATTAACTTATAAGATTATTTTTTTAAATAAACCTTTTTTTTTTTTTGTCTTTCTGAGACAGGGTCTCCCTGTAGCCCCAGCTGTCCTGGAACTCACTATCTAGCCCAGGCTGACCTTGAACTCACAAAGATTCACCTGCCTCTGCCTCCTGAGTGCTGGGACTAAAGGTGTGGGCTACCATGCCTGGCAAAATAAACCTTGTTTAAATTTTTATTTATTGTTATTGTTATTTATGTATATGTGTATGTGCGTGCACTTGATTGTCTGAATGTGCACTACATCCTCTGCCAGAGCAGAATTTGCTCTTAACTGCTGAGCCATGTATCTCTCCAGCTCCCTGTACATTTTTTACTTTTTTTTCTTCTTTTCAGTTTCTGATAGTATCATTTGGAACATGAAAAAGTTTTTTGTTTGGGGAGGGGTTGTTTGTCTTATTACATTTTTATTATTTATTTATTTAATTTATTGTGTGTATATGTGCCACAGTGCACATGTGGAGGTCAGAGGACAACTTGCAGGAATCCGTTCTCTCTTTCTACTACCATGCAGGTCCCAGGGATTGAACTCAAGTTGTCAGTCTTGGCAGCAAGCCCCTTTACCCATTGAGTCATCTCACTGCCTATGTTTTTTTTGAGGCAGGGTCTTACTATGTAGCCCTAGTTGGCCTAGAACTCACTATATAGATTATACTGCCTCAAACTTGCAGTGATCTCCTTCCTGTGCCTCCTGAATCCTGTGATTATAGACATGTGGCCCATGCCTAGCCTGGAACATAAAATTCTTTTATTTTGATAGTATTCATTGCTTATTTATTTATAATTATGGGCAAAACAGAAATGACGAGAGACAGGCATAGTTTCAGCTACCTCCATTTAGTAGCAATGAATTGGTTTACGGTAGCCTTTCGTTTTAAGATAGGGTCTTGCTGTGAGCCTTGGCTGACTTGGGACTTTAACACCCTCTTTCCTTTGCTTTTAGAGTGCTGGAATTATACTTATGTATCACCATGCCCAGGCTGTAGCCGTATTTGATAAAACAAAAATGGTCCGAAATCAATGGGGGTAGGCATGACCTAAGCCCACATATACTGCATTAATTTAATGAAATAGGGGGCATAGCTCTCCAGAGGGTGTCCCCAATGCCAGTGGTACTTCAGGATCAGTGGGAATGCTCCACAGCATGGGCTACAGTCTCTTGGAACTGGAGAAAAGGAGCTGTGGCTGGTTGTTGGGAGGATGTGCTTTGCCCCAATGTGTTAGAGTCCACAACTATATTGTGGTGTGGTAATTTTTCGTTTTTTCAATTAATTAATTAATTAATTTTATGTGTATGAATGGCTTGTGGAAGCCCAGAAGAGGGCATCAGATCCCCTGGAACTGGAGTTCCTGCAGTTCTCTGCTACCATGTGGGTGCTGGGAACTGAATCCAGGTCCTCCGCAAGAACAGCGAGTGCTCTTAACCTCTGAGCCAGCCTCCCTCCTTTTTCTTTTAATTACATTTATTTATTTATTTATCTGTTTATTTATTTATTTAGTTCAAGGGGAGCACTTGTGGTTATCTTTCCACTATGTAGATCCCAGGGATCAAACTCAGGTCGTTAGGCCTGTTGACAAGTGTCTTTATCCACAGACCCATCTTGCCAGCCCAGTATATTGTGGTATCTTACCAGGCCTGGGTTTCTAGGACTCACTGGGATTTGGCCTTGAAGTCATTTTAGATAGGCACCAATGCTTAGAGAGTGTTTAAAACAGCCTGAGCCTTTGTAATCTTGGCCTTCTAGGGTGTCAGGTAGCTCCTAGGGTAGAGGGTCAAGTGCAAGAGAATCCTCTTCTTACACTTAAAAAAATCAGAAGCAGGAACAGACTGAGCCACCTGTCTTGTCAGAACTGTAATTGGCACCTTCCAGAAACCTCTTAAAACTGAAAGCAGCTTTTGCTGACATCTGGTCCTTCTGGAACTCTGATATTTTTATTTATAATATGACACTCATTTCCCCAAATAGATTCTTTTTTTTTAACAGTCTTTATCCCTTTGAGGGATGCCTAAGATTCACAGCTTTGCTCTTTCAAACATCCTTCAAAGAGGACAAAGGCCCTGCTGTGTGTGAGGAGTGGAGGGGGAAGACGTACAGAAAATCAAATGGCCATGTCTTTACATCTGGAGTGGGATTTCTTCCTTGCTCTCCTCTCCTCTCCTCCACCTCTGTCTGGGAAGGGAAAGCTTGCAATTAGTGGTAATTGGCTGGACTGCTAGCCTGTGAATTCCACAGGTAAGAAGTGATGCCTGACTGTCTTACTCGCTTCCCTCCTCCCTCAGGTGTGTCTGTTTTGCTTCCCAGGATAGCTATGAACAGGGCCCAACTTACTTAAAACATTTTGAGATCTTCTTTTGTCTGTGTGTGTGTGTGTGTGTGTGTGTGACTCAGTTGTGCAGTTCTTGAGTGTGAACTTTGTAGATGACAGTGTCGTTTCACAATGAAAAGGTGAGACATGCCTGTGACCTAAACCTTTCCCTCCTACCTCTATCGCCTTAGCTGCCCAACATGTTCGGTGACCTTCGGTCCACATTTATTGCCTTGATGATTGGATCCTATGCCTCCTCAGCAGTCACCTTCCCAGGAATCAAGGTGAGGGTGTGGCTAACAGTTTCCTGCATGTGTGCTTTGTCCTAGCATCTGGGCGGAGGTTTCTGCCAAGGCTTCGGCAGCCTCTGAAGAGAGAGGTCATAGTGAGCACTAGGGATGGCCTCTTGCTGCCCCTCCCACCTGGGCCGGATGCAGCTGGCATCACAGGAGCAAGAAAAGAAAACCATTAGATCCTAGAGGGGAGAAGGGCGCTAGCCTGTCACTGTAGTGTGTGACTGCAGACAGACTAGAGAAGGGAAAAGGAGGGTGGGCAAACTTGCCTCTTGTCCCAAGAGCCCCCCGACTGCTGTTGTTGGGCTGTGCTCCCTGTTAGTCAAAGCTCTGCCCTTGGCCAAGCTGGTTCAGCTGTTTCCCTCCCAGGCAGGATTCTGAACCTGTAGAAGTCACATGGGATCAGGAAGAAGCCAAGACCTCACAACCCACTAGGTTCCCTCCCTGGTCCTGCTGCTCTGTCAGGGTGTCAACAGGAGCTTTTCCCTCACGAGGCACTGACACCAAAGTGAATCAATGTACTACGATGAGGAAAGGGAGTCACAGGGATAAGTACCTGGGAATCCATGTGGTAGATGGTGGGAATCTGGCCAGCCATCCTGTGGATTTCCTGGATGGTGGAAGAACTAGAAATTCATCTTCTGTGTCTGTGAGTGCTAGCCTCCTCCCTAGGGAGCTGGACAACTCTGTGCTAGTACTTTGGGGACCCTTACATTGGCACTGGAAAGAAATGGAAACAATCCTGGCTACTCAGGTAGCTGAGGCAGGAAGGGATGGTAAGTTCAAGGCCTGTTTGGGCTACAGAGCAAATTCAAGGACAACCTGGGCAATTTGGTAAGATCTGGTCTCATAATTTAAAAAAAAACAAAGGGCTATAGATATAGCTCACTGGTAGAAGCTTATGTAGCATGCAGGAAACCCTAAATTTCATCCCTACTACAGTTTAAAAAAAGTAAGGAACATGGGGAAGGGGAAAGAAAAGAAGAAAAATGGTGACATCAGTGCCTCTGTGCACTGCAGGCTGCTCGTCTGCAAGGTCAGTACTACTCCTCTGCCAGGATTATAACCACTTACCCTGACAATGTCACACCTGTTTCACAGAGCAGTGCATTTGTCTGTCTGTTCCTTGAGTATCTTGGGGGTACCTGCTGTGTGTACTCATCAAGATGCTAGAGAAGTACCAGTGTCTGAGTCTAGCAGGTTCCCATCCTCAGGCATCTAGACCAACACAGACAAGTCAGTGAGTTGTGTCGGGAGGTGGAAGCAGGAAAATTAAGAGTTCAAGGCTACAAAGCAAGTTTGAAGCCAGCCTGGGCTACATAAGAGCCTGTCTCAAAAAAAAAAAAAAGAGAAACCAAAACCCCAAACAAGAAGCAGAAAAATCTCAGCCAGTGCTGTCCACTGTGCAAGAGGGAGACAGACCATGACAGTGACAGGGTGACCAGCAAAGGCCTGTCCAAGATGGTGACATTTGGTTCAAGTTGGATTCCTGGATTCCTGGGACAGACAGTTGGAATTATCACAATGCAGGGTTCTGATAACCACACAGCTCAGCTCATAGGGCTATGCCTTCTCAGCCAGCCCAGCACAGTGGGAGCAGGAGCTGTTGGCTGCCTCCTGCGTGGGGCCCACTCTGCCTTCCCCCTGCTAACTCTGCCCCCTTGCCCGGTAGCTCATCTACGATGCTGGTGCCTCCTTTGTTGTCATCCTCGTAGTCTGGGCTGGCTGTTCTGGACTCGTTTTCCTCAACTGTTTCTTCAACTGGCCGCTAGAGCCCTTCCCAGGGCCAGAGGACATGGACTACTCGTAAGTAGGCGTGCTCTCTGCTCTGTCTTCATGCTGCCAGGGTCCCAGGCAGCACCCACAAACACCCTCCTTGTGGCCTCCAGGGTGAAGATCAAATTCAGCTGGCTGGGCTTTGACCACAAGATCACAGGGAAGCAGTTCTACAAGCAGGTGACCACAGTGGGGCGCCGCCTGAGCGTGGGGAGCTCCATGAGGACTGCCAAAGAGCAAACTGCACTGCAGGAGGGCCACAAGCTGTGCCTGTCCACTGTTGACCTGGAGGTGAAGTGCCAGCCTGATGTTGCAGGTACCCGACATGTGCCCTTGCCTTCCAAATTGGCTTGAGAGGTCTGGAGGGATATCCTCATCTATATCCTGGGTGTAGCCCGGTGCCCTCTTGATTGGGCATCATTGGCTGAGGCTCTGTGGGTTTTATCTCACTGAATTCCCACTCCATCCCAAAAGGGGCAGTGGCCCCACCTGTCCTATTTTACAGACAAGCACACTAAGGCTCAGAGAGGTTAGGGGATCTGCTGATTAGCAACATGAACCTCCCCAGGGCCCTTCCTTAGCTTCCTCTCACCTCCAGCGCAGGATCAGCACATTGGGCCTCCCTCCCTTGCTCTAGCCCCTTTATAGGTAGGACATGTCTCCTGGTCCTGAGCCCTGTGCCTTCTTCCCACAGCAGCCCCCTCGTTTATGCACAGTGTGTTCAGCCCCATCCTGCTGCTTAGCCTGGTCACCATGTGTGTTACACAGCTGCGGCTGATCTTCTACATGGGGGCTATGAACAGCATCCTCGAGTTCCTTGTTAGTGGTGACCAGAAGACAGGTAAGTATTCCCTGGGCTTTGGCGTGTCACTCCAGGGGAGGGCAACTGTGTCACTCCCACCAGCCAAGTGAAGGCCACCAGCTCTACCAGCTGGAAGGTGTTAGTCTAAGCTAGATCAGCAGGGGTGTGAAATGCAGTGTCTGAGGCCAGGCCCTGTTTGCTTGTCAGGGCTCTTTCATCACAGCCAGCCTGACTGTTCTTTCATGTCCCCATCAGGGTTTCCTGGCTGAGGAGGGAGAAAAGAACTAAAATAGCTCCATGTGTTTAGGGTGTGGGGTGTGTTTCCAGTGCCAGTGGGGAGGGCCAAAGGCTGTATCTGTAAGTGAAAACACTGCTCAGATGGAGGCTTTGGCCCGGGCACTTCCAAAGACAGCAGCCCAGCCCCACAGGATCACATCTCTGATCCTAGGGACTACACGCCTGGCTTCTGGACACCCAGGGGACTGAGGGAAGGACTTTTGTCCTGGCCGAGGACTCTGGGGCAGTAGGGCTCACACTAGGATCTGCATCCCTCCCTGGTTGAGCTTCCTGGGCGCAAATAATCCAGTTGTGGCTTGTTCACTCTGGGAAACCAAACTGATAACCCACAGGAAAACAGCAGCAGGTCTTCAGCTGACTAGGGACTTTGCTCTACAGAGAAAGTCAGTACTTCCCTGGGGCCTGGCTGACTCAGCTTTAGTCATCACAATCAAGACAAACACATTCGGCAATCCTCTTTGTTGGCTGCCTCACCAGCCTGCAACTTTTTGTTTTCACTAATGGGAAGATAATGTACAGAGCTTCCAAGGAGCCAAATACCAGTTTTTCATGGGATAAAAAAGCCTGCTTTCACAGAAGGAAAATACAGCAGAGTGCTAGGTACTGCTGGCTCTTTAGTGGGGAAATAAAGTGGAGAAACACTTAACATAATGAACAAAAAATTGTTATGAGATTAAAAGCCTCAGGGGCCTTATGGGAGAAACAGACCTATTCAGCTTTGTTTAGCCCAATGATAATTTCCCTAAATTTAGATCTCTGGAACCTTTTTGAATTTTTTTTTTAAGTTGGTAGAGTTCTTGCTTAGTATGAATGAAGCCCTGGGTTCCTCTCTAGCGCCACATAAGCATATGTGTGATGATGCACACATATAATCTCAGCTCTCCAAATGTGGAGGCAAGACGATCGGATGTTCAAGGTCATCCTAGGTTACATAGCATATTAGAGGGCCAGCCTGGGCTACATGAGACTCTGTCCGGGGGCAGGGCAGCACTGAGGTGGGTCTTGCTGTATTGCCTAAATTGGTCTCAAAATTCTGGGCTTGCCGGATGTGGTGGGGCACGCCTTTAATCCCAGCACTTGGGAGGCAGAGGCAGGTGATCTTTGTGAGTTTGAGGCCAGCCTGGTCTACAGGGTGAGTCCCAGGACAGCTGGGGCTACAGGGAGACCCTGTCTCAAAAAGATAACAACAACAACAAAAAAATTCTGGGTTCAAGCAGTCCTCTTCTGAATAGCTGTGACTACAGGTGTGAACCTCTGCATGTGGTAGAATCTTGCTTTTATGTAAAGAACTCATTAAGTCATTAAAAGCAGTTGTGTACACTTTGAAGAAAGCTGAGGTATCCTATGTAGACATCCTGTATTATAAACACTCGCCCAGAACTGTAGACCCTTGCAGTGTATAGAGGGAGCTTGTCCCTGACCTTCCCTTGCAAGGCAGCCTCTTGAGGTTGAGACTTTATTTTTCTGAGACATGGTAGCCCAGGATGGTATGGAACTTCCTTAGTAGACCTGTTTGGCCTCAAACTCTTGGTGAGCCTCCTGTCTCAGCCACTTGCTGGTATTATAGGTGTATACCGTCATACCCACCTTTTGCAGAGGCTGCTGAGATTGCTCAGCAGGTAAAGATGCTGGTTACAAGCCGCATGACCTAAGTTCAGTTTCTGGAATCCACATGGTAGAAGGAACGAATTGACTCCCCACAAGTTGTCCTCTGGCCTCCACAGATACCCTGTGGCATGTTTGTCCACATACAACACACACACACACACACACACACACACACATACACACACACATTAAATAAATGTAAAAAAAAATTTAAATATTTTGCTACCCGAGAGGTATTTTCTCAACTATTTACTTACTTAAAAAAAATTATATATATAAAATCACTCAGGAGGCAGAGGCAGGCAGATCTCTGTGAGTTCAAGGCAGGCCTAGTCTACATAGTGTGTTCCAGGCCAGCTGGGGCTACAAGGAGACCCTGTCTCAAAAAGAAAAAAAAAATTATGTGTATGTGGTAGGGGTATGTGCACATGAGTGCAGGTGCCCTCAGAAACCAGAGGTGACAGATTCCCTGAAGATGGAGTTACAGGCTTTTGAGTCCCCTGATGAGGGTATTGGAAATCAAACTTGGGTCCTCTGGAAGAGCAGTACATGCTCTTAACTCCTGAGCTATCTCTAGACCTATTTACTTTCTTTCAATTTATTTTTCTTAACTTCTTTTTAGAAAACTTGTATATTTATTATTTGTGTTGAGGAGGTGTGTATGTAAGTGTGGGCATCCATTTGGGGGTCAGAGGACAGTTTTCTTTTTTTTTTCTTCTTCTTCTTTTCAAGGCAGGGTCTTCCTGTGTCCCAGCCGGACTGGAACTCACTATGTAGACCAGGCTGGCCTTGAACTCACAGAGATCCACCTGCCTCTGCCTCTGCCTCCTGAGTGCTGGGACTAAAGGTATGTGCCACCACTCCAGGTGAGAGGAAAGTTCTCGAGAGTTTATTCTCTCCTTCCGCTGTGGGTTCCAGAGATTGAACTTAAGTGAAATTTGATACCCTCTTCTGACCTCTACAGGCTTTGCACAACACAGGTGCACTTACATACTTGCAGGCAATACACTCATACATATGAAATAAAAAAATAATAAAAATTAAAAAAAAAATTAAACAGTTTCAAGAAGTAGAGGAAATCAGTGTAGGAAGTGTGGTCTGAGGCAGACAGGAGCTTGGTTTTCTCTAGACTCAGAGAGGCTGCTATGAGCCAGCAAGGGAAAAGGACCAATTCTGGCTATCTGGGGACACCTGAGGTGTCAGATGGCTCTGGCTGGGGTATCTGGCACAGATCCTTTGACCTTTCCTGCTCTTTGAGTGGCAGCAATCCCACAGGGTCACATGGTATTGGGGGACTCTGATTCTGCCAGGCCTTCTGCACACAGCATGCCACTTCCCATCACAGTCTGGTCAGGCAGGACCACAGGCCTGACTCACCAGCCTGCCAGTGATGAGGCAGCAGCAACCAAGACAATGCCAGCCAGGCTGGGTTCTCTCTCAGATCTGTTCCTGGAGCTGTGTGAGCTCAGTCTTCCTTGAACACTCTGAAGGGGTCTTGTGGGATGTAAAGTATGTGTTGGTGCCTGATCTAGCTAGCCTGCCTCCTCTCCCCATTTGCCTGTAATGGCCGTTGCCCTTTCTGTCACTGACATCTCTCTCTGCTTCTCTACCTTTGCTTTCTTGATGAAGTGATGGCAACAGGTAAGCAGAGGTTTGTTGGGGAACAGCTACTCTTTTCAGCTCAGAGACTTCTCATCTTGAATTGCAAACATCTCTGATGACCAAAATGGTGGGGGCAAAGGGGGAACATTTAGCATTCAGCTATTTTTCCCTGAGGCTCCTGCCAACCCCCATTTTTAAGTCTCTTTGAAGATTGAAACCCTGACGTCAGAGCCCTTGTGAGTTTTGCCTTCCTGGTATATTTCTGGAGGCAGACAAGGAATGGCCAGTCCACATACAAAGCTTCAGTCTTGGGCATTGGTAATTTTGTGGTTCCCGAGTCAGAGTGACTTCCTGGAACTTCTGGTGGTGGGGGGGTATTATTGTGACATACTGGATTTCATTAGATGTTTCTGGGGAAAAGTAGAAGTTTGGAGCAGAAAATTGGGTGACCTGGTCTTTGTTCCAGCTTTTATTTCAGAAGTTAAAAGTCTGTAGGTTCCCTTCAACTCACACTGATAAGGGGTCTGTGCGACAGACCACTGAGAGCCTGTGGGCACTTGCCCCTTCCAATTTCACTCAAGCTCGTCCCTGGGGCTTTGTGCTCAGAGCTCCCGTGACATGCCATGTTCCTCCTCAGTTGCCCTCTACACCTCCATCTTTGGCGCACTCCAGCTGCTCTGCCTGCTGACAGCTCCTGTCATCGGCTACATCATGGACTGGAGGCTGAAGGAGTGCGAAGATGCCACTGATGAGCCTGAGGAGAAAGACACCACCCAGTACGTAGGCCAAAGAAAGACAACTGGGTCACACTGTGTGTTAGGCAGGGCCTGGTGGGTAGGGTCAACCTTACAGACAGCAGGAGGGGTGAGAGCGTGCTCTCAGAACCCTTGCAAGCTCAGCACACATTTTCCCAACCTCTTTATGGAAATTCTCTGATATGCTGAAGTTTGGGAGACACTTACAAAAAGACAAAAGCAAGGAAGATAGCAACAGAAAGCCCAGGGCCCCAGGATGCCACTCAGATCTTTGTCACGAGCTACATGAGAGGTCTATTTTTGAGGCCACTTGCCTCTGGGGTTTATTCCAGTCACAAACTAATCAGGTGGGTTAATGATGAGTTGAATGTGAGGGTTAAACAGGGTGCTAGATCCCTCTTTGTGGAAGGGCGGGGCTCTTAAGATCAGAAGATGAGTTAAATGCTGTCTTTTAGGACTCCACCTTTACATAATAAGCTATTATTTATTGTATCAGGCCAATGCCAAGTTTAACACACAGTGCCTTAACACACAGTTCAGACTCATGACATCAAGATGCCATTTGTACTAGTGTTGTACCCATTTTACAGATGAGGGCACTGAGGCTAGGTGTTATCTTATAGAGGTTACATAGTTAGGAAGTGGTGGGCCTGAGAATTGCTGCCCACCTCTGAACACTTGGCATTGGGTCGTGTGATCATCCATGGCATATCAGTGTGGGTGGTATGACTGGAACCAGTAAGGGTTAATAAACAAGGAAATAATTACAAAGATTCTTTGTTATCTAGGTCAGGCCCTAGAGCCAAGAGGTTATTTGTGCATACTTATTTCCCTTCACCCTGTCCTACCCTCCCCCCACCCCAGGGGAAATCCACTCACTCTCTTATTTGGCTTATTTTCTGGCTTATTACCAGCAAGATTTGGGTGAAGTAAGACTTCACTGCTTCCTCGCTGGCTTGTGCTATACTCCTTCCCTCCCCATTACCTGAGCTTGGTCCTCACTGAGCATCACCGTGGATTCAGTGCCATCTTCCCAGCTGTGAGACCCTCCACTTAGATCACACTTTGCTCAATTGGGAAGGTGGCCCAGAGACTGTCCCCAGTGAGGTTCTAATCCCTATACAGCCCCTAATATGTGTTTGAGTGACTTGTGACTCTCACATCAGCCCACATTCTGGGACCCCTGAGGCCTGACTTTTTGGGAGGGCCCAAAAAGTCTCTTCCTCCAGAGACTTCCCCCAACTTCTGTGTGCTCTTTCTCACAGAGGCGAGAAGAAGCAGAAACGAGACCGGCAGATCCAGAAAGTCACTAATGCCATGCGAGCCTTTGCCTTTACAAACTTGCTGCTTGTGGGCTTTGGGGTGACCTGTCTCATTCCCAGTCTGCCACTACAGGTGGGTGTGGGGAGAGGGAGAGGCCAGGTGAGGCATGAGGCAAGGATGAGGAATGCCTAGATGCTAAAAATTATGTTGAGTGTCATCTACAAAGTAAATGTGACTTTCCATCCAGTTTAGCTTATGGGAGGTCTGCTCCTCCTCTGCGCCACCCCACCCCCTCCCCCCACCCCTGTGCTCCGGATGGTGAGCTGTGAAGACCGATTGTCTTTCATCGGACTCACTCTTCTCCAAGAAAACACCATGTTCTCTGCCTTTAGTATAACATAGGTACCATTATCATCTGTTTCCTGGAACTATGTGGATGCCTGTTTTACATTTTCTCAAATAATTGGAATCTGCTGTCCAAAGAGGTTTAGCCAAGGCTAGCCTAAAACTTAAGATTCTCCTTCCTTGGTTTCCCAAGAGCTGAGATGAGGTTGTGCCACAATACCTGGCTTTGCACAAGAAACCTGACTTGCTAGAGTTTGCAAGCAAAGTAGACTTTGTACCTGCTTGGCCCCACCCTGTGGCCTGTGAGTGTTCTAGCAGTCCATTTTGGCCCAGTTCCCAAGTTTACATACTTTGAAGGGATACAAGTGATGGCATTGCTTCCCATTGGGCATAGCCCAAGTCCAGATGGTGTCTCTTGCCAGTTCTGGAAAGTAAGAGGCTCTCTCTGTTTACAAGATACCAGGTGTTAAGCTGCATTAGCACACAAGTGTGCATACCCACAGGTACAGTCACATGTACTTGCTGATACTGGGTATGCAGACCAGAGTAAGCCATGAAACACTTGCATCAGTTCCAGGTGGGAGAGATTGGTAGACCTTTGCCCTAACCAGCTTGTTTAGTTGAGGGACAATGTTCAGTGGAAGACAGCCATCTGCTTTTTCTTTTATTGAGTTCTCATTGAAGGACAAGTTAGGAAAAGGTTGGAATGAAGCGATGAAGCCTGTTTAAATCCACATGTACATAGCCCTCTTCAACCCTGCCAAGGGTAGCCTTGACTCCCTCCACTGCCCACATTCCTGGGAGCAGGTCCTAGCTGCTAAGCAAGATGGCAGGGTTATATATAAAGGAAACAAAGGACAAAACAGAGTCCTGGGGTAGCAGAGCCAATAGCTGGTGCCTCTGAGGGTTCCTTAACAAGAGTTTCTCAGGGCTTGCTAAGCTTGCCAATGGTGGCTTTCCCAAGAAGAAGCCTGCTAGAACCTGTGGTAGAGCCCTGCTAGGGAGGTGAGGACAACCATTTGCCAGTTTGCCCTGGATGACTAGGCATAAAGGCCTCTGGGAAACACCTTGGGTAAATAAAGATAGAGTCCTCCTGAACATTGGGGCAGGGGAGGTCTGGAACCTTGGTTTTGTTTTTGTTTTTTTTTTTGTTTTTTTGAGACAAGGTCTCCCCGTAGCCTCAGCTGGCCTGGATTTGCTAATGGAGACCAGGCTGGCCTCGAACTCTCAGAGATCCGCCTGCCTCTCTGCCTCTGCCTCCTGAGTGTTGGGATTAAAGGTGTGCGCCACCACACCCGGGTATGTGGCTTCTAATATACCAATAAACATGGAATCAGGATGGCAGTCTCAGGAACCCACCACCATAGGGGGTTTCTGCCCTACAGACACACCAAATGGACAACTCTTTTGGAGCAGAACAGTAGTAAAACAAGTGAAAAGATTAGGAAGCAATAAATTTCAAGCATTTATTACCTTTATTTTAATATAGTCAACTTAAAAGGTTTTTGGTTGGGTTTTTGGTTTGGTTAGTTTTTTGTTTTGTTTTTTGAATTTTTAAAATGTATTTGTTTTTTGAGTGTTATGCCTACATGTGTGTAAATAAGTGCACCCATGTTGTGCAGTGCCCGCCAGAGGGCATCAGATTCCCTGGAACTGGAGTTACAGATGGTTGTTAGCTGCCATGTGGGTGCTTGGATTCGAACCCAGGTCTTCTGCAAGAACAGCCAATGCTGTTAACTGCTGAGCCATCTCTCCAGCCCCCATTGTTTGGTTTTTTTGAGACAGGATCTCTTTATGTAGTCCTGCCTGTCCTGGATCTCTTGAAATAGACTGACCAGGTTGGCCTCGAACTTACAGAGACCTACCTGCTTCTGCTTCCCAAGTGTTGGCATCAAAGGCTTGTGCCATCATGCTCAGCCCTTAAGTTTTAATTATAAATTAATTTAATTTTTTATAATGATTGCTTAGCAACTGGCTACAAAATTCATGAAAGGGCCAGTAAAATAGATGGCTTAGCAAAGAGAGACACTTTTGCTAAGACTGATGTCCTCAGTTTGATCTCTGGGACCCATATGATGGAAGGAGAGAACTGACTCTAGCAAGTTGTCCTCTGACCTCCATATGTGCACCATGGCATGTGGAGACAACACACACACACACGCATGCACATTAAATAAATAAATAGATGCAATTTTAAAAAATTTTAATTACACAACAGTCTGCACTAGAGAGGAGAGAGCTGGTAGGGGCCAGCTCCAGATGGTCCTCACTCCCGTGCTTGGGTCTTCTGGACCTAGGGGGAAGGGACAGAGGAAGCCCTGGGAATCTCCTGTTCATGCTCTGTTCTCCCTTCTTCCCTCCCTCAGATCTTTTCCTTTGTCCTGCACACGATTGTTCGAGGATTCATCCACTCTGCTGTAGGAGGCCTGTATGCTGCTGTGTAAGTCCTGGAAGCTCTGGGTGATGTGGGAACCTGAGGGAGCTGCTGGCGGGACAGAGACTCTGAAGCCCCTTACTGCCCTGGCACGGTTCATCTTCTTGTATCAGGGCAAGGTACCAGGGTTTCTACTGGCTGTGTCAGGAAAGATCATACATACCTGACAGGTGGGTCAGCAGGCAGATAGTTGGGTGCCCACAAGCCTTAGCATTTAACACGATCAGTCTCCAGCTGGGTCAGTGCCTTAAGGCCTCCAGGGCTTCTGTTCAGCTGAGTCCTAGTGCTATCCCTGGCTGCTCACTGGGATGGGGTTGGGTTCTGGATGCCTGAAGCTAAATATTTAAGTGCAAATGGTCCGAAATAAGTGCAGTGATCCCAGAAGTGCTGGGCTGTCCTTACCCAGAGCCTCAAAGGGCCCACTGCTGACCATAATCTCCTTGAATCCTGGCTACAATGAAACCTGAATCTTTTCCAAGAGGCCACACAGCTGTTTTTCCTTTTTTGGCCTAGAACTTGGCCCATAATCTGGAACCCAAATGCCATCATCCACTGTCTCTGACCATGAGAACAGCTCATTCTTGTTAGGAGTCCCTTCCTACCTCTGGGGTAGCAAAATCTAATGTTCATTGAGATTAAACCCAGAACTCCTTTCCTCTTTGAGCAGGATCCTACAGGGGGTCATTCCAGGTCTGCCTGTCCCCCGTCCCCCCAGCCCCCCCAGGCCCAGAGGAAGTTGTGGCTGCCCCGGCAGGGTGTGAGGGAGTCAGGCAACAGCTGTGATGCTGAGTTTCCGTGATTGCACAATGCTCCTCTGGAGGAGGGTACAGCAGAGCCCAGACTCCAACCTGTCCCTGGGCATGTTTCCCAAGCCACAGACTCCTCTGGCACCATGCTTTCTACTCTGTGCAGCCTGACACCCACAGGCCCAGGGCACATCTGAGCATGGGAGTGGCCCTTTCCAGAGTCTGGAGCCTCAGGGGCCAGCACCCAGCCATCCTGAGGCTGTCCCTCCCTCTCCCTATAGACTCTGATGATGCAGCCCCAGTTCCCAGCACACCTGGGCCAGGCTGAGGAGGGGTTTTGGAAATCCATGAATGGCACTGGCTGTGACAGGTCTCATTGCCCCAACAGGTACCCTTCCACACAGTTTGGCAGCCTCACAGGACTGCAATCTCTGGTCAGTGCACTTTTTGCTCTTCTGCAGCAGCCACTGTTTCTGGCCATGATGGGTCCCCTCCAAGGAGACCCTCTGTGGGTAAGAAATATTGGGGTGTCTCTCCACTCTGCCACCGGGAAGTGGGATGGAGACTTCACTTGCAGCCCCAGGGACAGGCAGTATGGGACCTTTAGCTAGAACACAGTCAGAGGTCCCTTGTGAATGATGGCCAGATAGGAAGAGAAAAATGGCCTCTCTAGACCTGATTTTGGGGTAAATCCCAGTCCTTCCAGCCAGGACCAGGATTGTAATCCAGATACTATCATGAGTTGTTCCAACACTAGCCCAAGCCCTGAGGCCTGCAGAGTGGCCTGTGGAGATGGGGAATTTGGATGCTAGAGTGTGGAATGATAGCCCTAGGACATCCTGAACCTTCTAGTTTAACTTTCCTTCTGTTCTCCTATGACCTCTTTCCTTCCCCAAACTTGAGAATGCAGAAGGGTGCTTCCCAGCCCTGCAGTGAGTACAGCCCCTGCCAGGCTGCCCCTTGTGACAGCCCACTCCCCGCCTCCCCAGGTGAATGTCGGTCTGCTTGTTGTGAGCATGCTGGGCTTTTGCCTGCCACTCTACCTGATCTGCTACCGGCGTCAGCTGGAGAGGCAGCTGCAGCAGAAGAGGGAAGACGACAAGCTGTTCCTTAAGATCAATGGCTCATCCAACCAGGAGGCTTTCGTGTAGTGCCCACCACCTCAGCGCTGTGGCCTCCTATCCATGCTTGAGTGACTGACCGCTGTCATCCTCCCTGTCCCAGAGGATCCCATGTACTCCCTGGATCCTGTCCTTCACCACACTGGAGCCCAGGCTCCCTCACAAAGCCCTGGTCCTGTTGTGGAGCTCTGGTGCAGAAGGTCAGGAAAATGCCCAGGAGGACTGATTCTCTCTCTGCTAGAAGTAGGGCTGCCCTGGCCTTGCTTTCACCCCAAGGAACTATGGGGCCTTGGGTCTCCGTGGGGCCTGTACATGGAGCCAAGGGCACTCTTAAAGAGCAGGTTCTCTCCCTCAAGGGTCTGGATTCTGCCTCTTCCCAAAGCAGAGGGGCCTGCTGTCATCCACCCACATCCTGCCTCTCTGCTGCATGCCCACCAATTACGCCTGCCTGAGGACAAAGGCTTGCACTGTCTGCACTCCCCTTGCCTGGCCCCTTACCTCCCCTGGCCAGTCTGAGGCTGCCTGAGGAAGGAAGGACCCGTTTTCCTGTTGTTGGTGCTAACCCCTTTGTAATTCCAGCTTCCCTGTGGCCTGTCCCTGGCTTGTCCTTTCCTTGAAGGCCTGTGGAAAAGCACCCCTGGCTCAGGCTAAGGAAGGGATGGAGGGCAGAATGGTCACACAAAGCCTTTGGAGCCATGGACAAGGCTAATGGGTCATCCTTCACCTTCTCCCTAAGGGGGTGGAGGGGTGGGGGAAGCACATTTCTACTGCCACCTTTGGTCCAGTCTACAACCTGAGGAGAACTAAAGGGGTATCACGAGGGTACCCCTTGATATACACGTAGCTGTTTTGGTGTGGAAGTAAGACTGGCTGACAGACAAGGAGAGCTAGGCCTAAGCAGAGAGGTAGATTGGTGAATGTTGGAGGTTTGTGTGTTTGTGTGGTATGTGTGTGTGCATGCATGTATACATAATAGGGGGTTGACTCCAGGGCCTACCCCTATCATCATGGACCCGACTAGGAGCCAGCCAGGCCTGCAGCAGGCCCAGGATGGGAGAGCCAGCCTTGCACTGTAGCCCAGACCTTATGGCTGTGTGGTCACAGTGCCCCCTGCTGGCAGACTCCATCAAGGTCTGGGAGCTGTTCACATGGCAGAGGCCACGCCTGCCTAGCTCAACACTTTGATAGGCCCCAGAAATGTGTTTCAGACCTCCTGAGATGCCAAGAGGGGTGAGTTGATTTTAAGTCTATGGTGGTTTTCTCTTTAATTTTATCAGACTTCTTTTCTTTTTTTTTTTTTTTTTTTTTTTTTGTTTTTTTTTTTTGGTCTTTTTGAGACAGGGTCTCCTTGTAGCCCAAGCTGTTCTATAACTCATGATGTAGACCAGGCTGGCCTTGAACTCACAGAGATCTGCTTGCCTCTGCCTCCTGAGTGCTGGGACTACAGGCGTGCACCACCACGCCCGACAGACTTCTTTTTATAAAGCAATAAACCCATTTTCTTTTTGGTAAGGGATGCCCCTCCTAGCATATCGGTTGACCACTGTATGTGCCTGTTTGAAGATTGAGGGGGAAAGGCAGGACAAGATGTTCTGCCACTAACCAGCCCAGCTGTACCTGACTGTTCACCAGCTTCCTCAGAAACCTGTCCAGGGAGGAGCATAGGCAAGGGAAATCCCTGATGTCCCACACTTCATAGGGCTATGAAGAAGTGGGGGTTGCCACCTCTGCTGTCTGTCCTAGCTAGACAGGCCAATTCTGACCCCTTCATCTACACTGTTTCCTGTGACCTCATAACCCCAAAGGTTATTCCTTGAGTACAGGCCACACAGTGACTCCAGGAAAACCCCAGGCTAAACAGCATCAGAATGTGGTGGGACACACAAAGAAGGTCCACACCCAGGCTCCATAGTAACAGGACCACCAAATCTCCTAGGCTTCAGTCTGTTCAAACACTAAAATCACAACCCCCCAAATAATGAGCTGCTGGGAACCCTTCTCTGGGGTTTAGGCATGTAGCTAGGTGGTAGAGCTCATTTTATTATGTGTAAGGCCTAGATTCAGTCCCCTAAAAGAACTGTATCAACATTGCTCAAAGCACTGGTCTAATGTGTTAATGGTTATTCTGCTTTGAAAGACTTCAGTCAAATGTAGGCTATGCTGAGTTAAAGTCAGTGAGTACTTAAAACACTTTCTCCATGCTCAGGAACACTGAAGCTATTCAAAAAGGGATCTGGTACTAGGCATAAGTGGCATACACCTGTAATTCCAGCACTCTGAAGGTTGAGCCAGGAGGATCATGAATTCCAGGCCAGCTTGGCCTACATAACAAAATTCTGTCTCAAAACAACAAAACCACAAGTGTTTATGAGGATGTGAAGAAGTTGGAGGTCTCATGAATTGCTGATGGGAATGGAATAGCTGCTGTGGTAAAGAATCTGGCAAATTGGACTGGGCATGGTAGTGCATGCCTGTAATCCCAGCATCAGGAGGCAAAGGATGGCAAGTTTCAGCCTGAGCTACATAGTGAAACCCATCTCATACACAAGGTTGTGGCATGCTACTGAGTCATGGCTGTAATCACTGGAGCCATCCCCCGTTCTCATGTGTGACCCAAGTGGCCACTCACAGCAGAAGGCCCTGTGATGTTGGGTAAGATTGTAGATGCCAGGACTGGGTAGGGATGTAGCTCAGTAGGTAGAATGCTTGCCCAGCATGCACAAAGCCTTGGGTTTGATACCAGCCCTGAGTAAAACTGGGCATGGTGGTATACACCTGCAATCCTAGCACTCAGGAGGTGGAGGCAGCAGGATCAGGAAGTCAAGGTCATCCTTTGCTACATGATGAGTTTCCTGAAGCCAGCCTGGGCTATGTGAGACACTGTCTTGATAGCAGGTCTTGCTAGGCGTGGCAGTGCACGCCTTTAGTCCAGCACTTGGGAGGCAGAATCAGGTGGATCTCTGTGAGTTCAAAGCCAGCCTGGTCTACATAGTGAGTTCCAGGCCAGCTGGGGCTACAGGGGTACCCTGCCTCAAAAAGAGGCAAAGCAAAAAAAGTCTCACTTTGCCTTAATTTGAATCTGGTACCTCCCATAGTTTGAGATGCATTGAAGAGGAAGGCAGTTTGAGGAAATGCTGACTAGCAAAACCCCTTCCTGCTGAGAACAAACACTGAGGTTGGTCAGACATGGTCTGTGCTGGCACTGGCCCTGCCCAGTGGCCATACCTTTTTTTTTTTCTTTTTGAGACAGGGTCTCCTTGTAGTCCCAGCTGTCCTGGAACTCACTAACTATGTAGACCAGGCTGGCCTCAAATTCACAAAGATATGCCTGCTTCTGCCTCCCAAGGGCTGGGATTAAAGGCATGTGTCACCACACCCGGCTGGCCATACCTTTTGGGTATGGCCCTTTGAGGGAATATCCTAGGGTTGAGAAACTAAACATGAGAATGGAAAAGAGCCCAGGGCAACAGGGATTAGAAGCATCAGTGATAGTGTACAGAGGTGTAGCAAGCCAGATGAGCTAGGAACTTCTTAGTCAGGGGCCATTCTGCCCTGCCTTGGCAGGTTACATGCTTTTCTAGTGTCTTTGAATCATGGTAACTTGGTAGAGTGGAGTAGGTGCTATCATCCCTATTTTATAGTTGGAGAAACAGGTCCAGAGAGGTGGAGTAACTCACCCAAAATGAGAACCAGGACTTACATGTGGGTCTTAAGTCATTGAAGCAGGCAAGGCCCTCTAGCCCAAAACATTCCATTGACAGCAGCAGCCCAGGGGGTGCCAGGCCTCCTGTATGGCATTAGTAGCCCAAGGAAGGGAAGAGCAAGCTCATGATGGTCTCCATGTCCTAGAGCCAAAGCTTCCTCAGGAGTGGGGTAAATTATTCCCACTAGCGTCATTTCAGCTCTGGAGGCTGATGGGTACTTGGGGAATTATTTTCTGGAGAGCACAACCTCTAGAGGAGTGCCCTGAGATGAGGACAGAACCACAGGCTGGACACAGGACACAGGTAGAGGCACTAAGTGCCTCCAGACCGCACATCTTCCCCCTTGTCCTGCAGGTTAGGGTGGAAGGGACAAGAAATGATACCTAGCCCTGTGGTTTCACTCAGGAGCCAGTGTCACAGGCACTGCTAGGAGTCCTTCGTCTATGACTGAGGCATTCATTCTTCGGCATTGGCTTCCTCTAGTCTTCTGCCTGCATCACTTCCTACTGAGCCTATTCATGGCTGGCTCCAATCTGCACTATGGCCAAAGACAAGGTGCAGGTCCTTAGGGGCTCCTTTCTGTGTTATTCCATCTCCCTTCCCTTACCCAGTATTGTTCTGGTGAAAAGAACTACATAGCTGGGTGTGGTGGTACATGCCTTTAATCCCAGCACTTGGGAGGCAGAGGCAGGCGTATCTTTGTGAATTTGAGGCCAGCCTGGTCTACATAGTGAGTTCCAGGACAGCTGGGGCTACAAGGAGACCCTGTCTCAAAAAGACCAAAAAAAAAAGGAAAACTATGTAAACCCTGGTCATGGCTTTGAGTGGCTCAGGTAGTCTGTGGGGACTGGCCTAGACCCCATAGACACTGAAAATGGTGTGTGTGTGGGGACATCCAGTATTAAAGTTATATGGACAGACTGTTCCAGATAGCACAAATACATTCAGTTAAGTAGAGGTTTGGGGGTCTTTTTTGGTTGGAGGCAGGGTCTCACAATGTTCTTCAAAGCTGTCTTTGACCTTGACATTCTCCTGCCTCTGCTTCTTGACTGCAGGGATTACAGCTGTGCACTGCTATGCCTGTGTGATTTTAAGCAGATGCACAATCCGGGGTGGCTGGTGAGGGGTGGGGATAAGCTATGACAACCAGTGGTGAGAGGGCTTCTGCAGAGAGCCCTGCAAAATCTTCTCCAAGGAGCCAGGCTACAGGGTCCCCTTCAGCAGTTGTCCCATTTCCTATGAAGGGTAATACCAAGGGTTCTCATAGGTTCTTGGGCCAGTGATGTGCCTTATCTGTGCCAGTTACCAGGGCCCAGTTTAAGCATGGTGACAATTTCCCCAAATACAGACCATGGGCTAATGAGGGTAAGAACCCCAAAGTGTTTGGGGGGCTGCTTATCTTCCAGCTGCTGCCCTTCCCTGGGGTTGGGGGGGTCAAGGTGAGACTGTACCTCATATGCTGACTCACCTGAACTCTCAGGTTGTGAACAGCCTCCTGGGTGTTCAGCAGAGTCAGCACCCTCCACGACGAGGTTGTCATGGTTCTGGCTTCCCTCTGCCAACGCCGAACTACCATCTGTGCCCCTTGGTCCCTGAAGTTAGTCATTCTACTTGGGCAGATCCAAGACAACCAGGGTCACAGGTAGCTCCCTGACTTCGACTCTTCTCAGAGGGAAGCCCTGTCTTCCCCATGCTAAGACACTGAAGGAATCACAAAGGTTAAAGGCCATATCACATACTATCTTAGCACCCTTAGGCAATTTGCGGGGGGGGGGATCTTTTTGAGACAGGGTCTCCAGCTGGCCTGGCCTGGAACTCTCTATGCAGACTAGGTTGGCCTCAATCTCACAGAGATCTGCCTTCCTTTGCCTCTTGAGTGCTGGAATTAAAGG